CGTGATTTACTTTAAAAGCACTCAAAAATGTTGCACAAATGCTTTTACTTAAAAGTATTTTTTGTCGATAGTATGTAATCAGACAAATTGAAAAAAAAGTTTATTAAAATGAAATTATAAACAATTAAGAAATGAACTGATTAGTATTGTCGTATCTCTGTATTGTCGTATCGCTGTATTGTCGTATCGCTGTATTGTCGTATTGCTGTATTGTTGTATCACTGTATTGCTGTATCACTGTATCATTTTGCCTCCATATCCACTCAGTTTTACCTTGATTTTTCCTACTATTGACAAATCATCATTGTACTCTTTAAGCTTGTTTATCTGTGGTTCTAGAAATTTAGTTTCTGCCTTTGCAAGTGTTCCTTTGATGTGACACATATCATTCAATAACTCCTTGCATTGATAGATCAAATATGGTGTTGGTAGTCCCTCCCCATCATCAGTCATTGTCAGCTCATGATATATAGCCTCACCAACACAGAGCTTATCTTGTATAAACAAAATCTGTTTTAGTTTTGCTTGCTCATCCTCAGGCAGATCTTTAAATGCCTTTGCCCTTGGGGTGTCACTGAAGTTCATGTCATAGTCTTTTCCATTCTCATCACAAAAACTAGTAGAAGTTAATTTCAAGTCATATGTTTTCTGTACCAAGGATTTCACAATTCTGTTGCAGGATCCTGTTTCGGTAGCAAGCTCCCTTGTGTGTACTGAAACTTTTATTGCCAACATCCTGTCTCCAGTTGGCCAATCATATTGGCTTATTTGTTGGATTTATAACTAGTTCCCATGTTCCGATCGGGTTGTTTCATCGTTTAGCTCCCTCGTGTGTACTGGTGTAGCAAAATGACGCAGGAGCAAGCTCCCTCATGTGTGCCGGCCTTAAGAGTGCACAGTGGGTGAATAAGCTGCATTTCTTTGGTCTTTCGACAATCATTGTTGCCGTTAATCAAAGAAAGACTGAAAACAATGAAGTCAGAAAGAGAATGGTTAGCTAGAAATGAAATGGTGGGAAACTGGTTTGGTGGGAYAGAATGATATTATTTTTGTTAGAGGAAGGTGATGCCACCATCCTAGATATCGTCCCATGTAAGGGAATCCGGACCAATGGTGGATTCCGGATTCCAAGGGTCTGGATTCCGGATTCCAAAACTTTTGGAGTGTGGATTCCGGACTCGTTATCGTTAATTTTGAGATACTCTTTCTGAAAACTATATTTTATATACTTGCCAGTATAACCAGGGAGGTGTCCATGGTATATATAACTACCGTGATTTAAAAAACAACAACAGTCAACAAAAGAGCATACATTAAGTTTCAGACACTATAACGTATTGTAAATAGCCCACTTTTTTTAAATTTTAATTTAATTATTGTGGCGCGGCTTTTATATTACCAACAAATTGAATTGTAATTTTCAAACATAGCATGAAATAAGAGTTTTTGGCCAAGTAAAGAAAGCTAAAAAATTGAAGAATTAAAAATTTAATTTCCCTGTTCTTACATGGAGCTTTTAAGGAATAGGTATGATTGCAAGTGCTTCTTAAATATGAGATTAGTAAATTGCATGTAGCAAAATGTCCTACCAGTATTCAGGACAAATCGCGTTACTCTTCTTCCTGAAAAACTGACGCTTTGTAGACGGGTTGGTATGGACTGCTCTACACTGTGTGTCGATTCTTCTTCTTCACTGTCGCATTCGTCATCGTCAACATCATCCCCATTGGCCAGTCTTGTCAATCGTATATCCTCACTCRATGTCTAAACAAGGCTGTCAGCACTTTCCTCCTCCTCCTTCCATTCCTGGAATGCATTGCGGTGAATTTCTTTTGCTTGTATCTCCTACTGTATAGGCAAGTGAATTTTCTGTTTGACATCGCCCAAAATAAAAAATACATATTTCAGAAGAGCAGTTTCCCAATATCTGCTGAATCTCATAAGATTTGGAAAGATGGCACATGGGGAAACTTGCAGTTTTTGAGATGCACTGAAGAGCATTGTATCTCAGTGCCCTTTGCTTTTTATTTGGGTTAAATAATTCAGATTGTTATAAAACTATTTTTAATGAGCAAATAAGAGTTGTGCTTTTGGCAGAAAATATTAGAAGGCTATTTGGATCAACAGTTTTGATACACGAACCAGGCGAAACTAAGCAATTTTCAGCCATTTTTTGGCAGCGAAAATCGTCCCTGGAGCTCAAACGAGTCATGAGTCATTTATAACAGGCATATTTTTAGACCTCCGTAAAGATACTGTCAATAATACTATTCTACTGGAGAAACTATATGGTATTAGAGGAGTGGCTAAAGACTGGTTTGCTTCCTATCTTCATAATCGCAAGCAATTTGTTACTGTCAATAATACTAAATCTTCAGAAATGTACATTTCATGTGGTGTTCCCCAAGGCTCTTTTCTTGGCCCACTTCTCTTTTTAATATACATCAACGATTTTCATTTATGTTCAAAACTCT